AATTATCATAAAAGATATTGTATTTTAAAATTAAATTATTAATAAATTTATATTTAATATCATTAAAATGGTTGTATTTTATTTAAGAAGTAAAATATATTATTAATTTTATTTTTTATTAAACTTTAGGCCTTTTTTTTGAGTCTTTTTTTATAATTTTTTCTAACACTTTTAGATTCATTTTTCACAGGACTCGTGTTGCTAGCTTTTGAAAAAAATTGATTTTAACTAAAAAAAAATTAATTCAATGGTTTTTCATGTGTTTGGATACCAACTCAGAAAATCGATTTTTTGAATAAAAAAATCGATTCTGAACATATCCAAACACACGCTGTGTCGATAGTGAGCTTATGTAAATTACTGAAGGGAGAATTTGAATTTAAATTCTAAAAATATAATATTATATTTCATTAATTTTATTTATAAAATATATTTAAAAAATTTATTTAATTTTATTTATAAGTCATGATATATTTTTAAATAATATTTAAAAAATATTTTTAAAATTATTTTTTATAATAATAGAGAAAAAGTAACCGGGTGTTATTTTTTGAATTTATTATATAAAAATATATTTGAAATTTCATAATTCATACACTTTTATTTTTATATTTTTCTTTACATTGTTACTGATAAAATTAATAAAAATAACTTATAAAGAGGATTAAAGGAGTACTCCCTCTATTTTTTATTGTCAGAGAAACTACCACTTTTTATTTATATTTTTTTATAAAAAAAATCACCTATTTAAATAAATATTTATTACATATTTCTCAAATCATCCCTTTTAATTTATATTAACGAGAAATAATTAATGTATGTTTATGTTTATTAATATTAGGCATTTTAGTCTTTTTTATTTTCAGAGATATTAATTATTATTGTTAACTTACTTTTTAAATTATATGATATAATTTTTTTAATATATAAAAATGGAAGGAGTACATGAAAAATTAGTGAGGTCATGTAAATCACTAATTTAAGTCATTGCTTACGCATTATTACGAAATGGGTGATTAGTGAATACATACAGTGCCACCGACTGACACCCGCATGATTAAATGACTACGTTGAATCGTTGCCTTTTGTTTTTCGGCGACGACGTTTTTTCATTACAAAAACCGGAACCAATTCAATATCCTTGGAGTCACATCACCTACGGCCGTCCAGCTGATCCTTAAGTTGAACCTCTCGGTATTATCCATTGAATCATAAGCCTGCATTAAATGACTGGGTCTTTTTCATTTTTGTTTTTTATGTCTGATCTTCTATTCTTGTTTCGGCGATTTTATTGACATCCGGTTTTGTATTCAAAAAGTATTGTCACTTGAATTTGCATCTCAGATTTTGTCAAGAGAGGATTTCAATTAAGGACTGCCGAAAGTGGGTCTGAAAAAAATTTTAAAATTTCAGCTTAATTTAAAAAAAATAAACAAATTTTAATGATAAAAAAAATTAAAATATCATTCATTCATTATATAAAATCACTAGTTATTAATTTTTTTATTATATTTTTTAATTTATCAATATTATTTTTAAATTACATCCGCATATCAGACAATCAATAACATTTATTGTTAATTTGTCAATTTTACTTATTAATTTATGAACGTTAGTTATAAATTACAAAACCTGCCAGTAATTTATAATTAATGTTAGTAAATTATAAGGCCTGTTAATAATTTATCATTGATATTAATAAATTAATAAGTAAAGTTAGCAATTTAAAAACTAATATTTTTGCTTATAATTAAAAAACTGATGTCTAATTTTATATAATTATTCACATGTCAACTCATGTAATTTGTAACTCATATTCATAAATAAATAAGTGAAGTAAAAAAATTAATAATTAATAATTTTACATAACAAAAAAGTGTATTTTAATCTTTTCACCATCGAAATTCTTTTGACTTTTTTTCCTTTGTATTGAACTAAAATTGTAAAAAAAAAAAATTAGACTAGTTCATGACTGAAATTCTCCTTCTTCTTTTTTTTTTAATTAACGGGAAAGGTCACCACAAAAATCGTGTGAAAGATTACAACTAAATCAGGTTAGAATCCATACTTTCATTTTTTGAGTCATAAGCCAACAAATAACGAATGATCCATATGAAAATTCAAAATAACGAAGAGCGAAAGCAAGCGGCAATGAGCAATGAGTTCACAAGTTTTGAATCCGCTCATATCTTTTTGTAAATGATTTGTGTAGAGCTAGTAACTTAGCATGCTCGACGCATATGAGCTTGGGTCTAAAAGTCTAGTTTCCGCAAAATTAGTCATTTATTTAAGTCCAGTTTTTATTGATCGGGCTTAGAGCCAAGCTCGTGATGAATCCTTTCTTTTTTTTTTATAAATTGAATTTTTACATTAAATATTATATATTCTTTTTTTAAAATACAAATTATAATGTTCAAAAATTAAAAATAAGTAATATAAATTTTGATTTTAAAATACAAACATATATGTAAAAGTCTAAATTTAATTTAAAACTTCAAAATATTTGATTTTTTTAAGGATAAAATAAAAAAGGGTCTAAACATGCGGCCAAGCCTGTTTTTACAATGCTGAACTTGAAAGTTTGATTATTTTAAAAATTCTTGATTTTTGAATCTCAAATTCTTATGCTAAAAATAAAAGAAGCCCAAATTTTTATAAAAATATATTTAAATGGACAGCTTATCAAACCTAACACGTATTTAAATGGACAGCTTATCAAACTTAAAACATGTATTTGACCCCAAAAACAAGAAACATGTTGGGTCAGGTTAATTGCTATTCACCCAGGTATTTGAGCACAAAGTCATCCTCTCATCAGGGCCGTGTCTGAAGGGATTTTGGGACCTAAAGCAAAATTATTTAAGAGGCCTAATGTATTATTATTTATATATCTTTATATTATTTTTTTAGCTTTTTGAATTGCAAAATCAAATATTAAATTTTTATAATTGAGTAATTTTAACATTTCACTTTCAATATACTCTATTCTCCCAAATTATAATATGCTTTTAGATAAAATTTTATATACCAATAAAACTCATTATATATACTTTACAACTTTATTTTTTTAAGACAAAAATATAAATTTTTAAAAATGCCCTTCATTTAACACTCAATTGATGAAATAATATTAAAGAGAGAGAATATATGAGAAGGGTAATATTAAAAAAGTATCATTAATAAAATTTTATTTTTATCAAAATATCTTGTATTTTAAGACGATGAATATTCCCTAAAAGTCTCTTATAACTCGAGATGGAAGGACTATAATATAGCAAATCTATTTAATCTATTTTGTAACATGGTTGATCTTAAATAAAATTTAAGTAATTTTAATTTTAAAAAACTTCTTTCAATAGTAGCAACTGTTACAGATATTATAAATAATTTTTTATAAAACAAACTAAGTTAAAAGAACCAAAAGACCTGAAAAGAATCGTGGAGCTTCCTAGAGAATCAACATCTTCACTAAGCTCATGTGATATCCCGTGATACACAAGGGAGAATGACCAAGAGTTTTTAATTCAAGTTAGATCTTAAGTATTAAACTTTAAAATTTATAATTTAATTTTTTAATTTTGTAATTATATTATGATAAATTTGTAACTTATTTTTTAAATTTTAATATAGTTAAAAAATAAAAAAATTATTTTTTTATTAACATTTGAAATATAAGTTGTAAATTTATCACAACGGAAATTGAATTGCAAATTTCTAAAATTTAACACTTAATACCTAACTTAAATTAATTTATTCTTTTAAAATTTTTTTATCATTCTTCCGATATATATTCTTGATCAAGTGACATCTACATTTATTATACTCTCATTTTCATATTTTTTTTATTTCATCACTATTATTAACTCAACTCGTATAATAAATATTCAGTTAGAGTTAATGTTTTTGATGTGACGTTCACACGATAACACAGACACATCATTCCAATAAAATTCTGGCATGCATTTTAAATTTGTGGCTCATATAAATGCAATAATGAAAGACAAATAATAAAATATGAGATTTTTTTTAGTTTACATAATAAAAAATGTATGAAATAGAATTCAATTTGTTTTTTTCCCGCTCCGCGTTCACTCGTTCACTTGTTCACAGTCTCTTGTCTTGTCGTTCTTCTAGGTCATGAAACTTAAGCAAATAAGCATTTCAGAATACTACAGTTAAATGACAGTTTTTCATGTATAAGAGGCTAAATGGTAAAATCTAATTAATTTTGAATCAATTAAGAGATTAGATCAGGATTAATAATTAATATCATAATTGAATCACGATCAAATTGGTTATGAATAGAGTCTTTCGTTAAACTGATCAAGATACTAATTTATTATATTTACCAGTTTAACTAGTCGAAGTTGACCTAGATTATTTTAATACTATGATGATGTTAATAATAATAAACTTGTAAACAATATATACTGCTCATATCTTAAAATTTTATGTAAGATATAATATCTATATATATAATTTAAAACAAACTAGTATCGTGCGTGCAACACATTTTTCAATTGTGTATAATTGAATGTTTGCAATAAAATAAAAAATATAGAATAATATATACGGTTCATAATCATATAATAGCTATACTTCCAGGGATGAATCTAGAACTTAGTAATTGGGGGGTCAAAACTGAAAATAAAATGAAGAATAAGAGGCCAAAATCTAATTTAAACTATTTTATAAAAAAAAAATTAATTTTGACGAAAAGGTTAATGACGCATGGGGGGCCAATAATCCCTCCTTGTCCTCCTGTGGGTCCGTCACCGTACGTACTTCTCAGCCGCAACGTGTAGTCTTGGAGTACACACTCTAAGAGGGTCATTCTTGAACTTAGCAGCCAGCAAACCACTTGCTTCCTCATGAACTTAACACACTATATATAAATACAATACTAATTTGCTTCCTCATGAACTTAGCAGCTAGAAAACCACTTGCAATCCAAACTGCTCTTTTCTTGCATCTCTGAACTCATTTATTGCTTTCCAATGATGGATTCCACATTATCCTCCATCACACGCAGAGCCCAAAAGATCAAGGGAATGATGTTCTCACCAGACGTTGATCCCTATTCTTTTGTGAGTCCTTCTGCGTATGACACTGCATGGTTAGCTATGATCCCAGATTCTTGTTCTGAACCTGATCACTATTTGCAGCCCAAGTTCAGGAATTGCTTGAACTGGCTGCTACACAATCAGAAGGAACAAGGGTTTTGGGGACAATGTGATGCGCACGGCAACCCTACCATTGAAGCCCTTCCTGCAACTCTTGCTTCCATCGTTTCCCTCAAAATGTGGAATACTGGGCCGCTTCTCGTACAGAAAGGTATATCAAGCATTTTTAAATGGTGAAAATGGGTCTCATAACATGCTGCCAAATTCTTTCGTTAAATATTTGATTACGAAATCGCTTCTCTGGTTTCAGGATTGTCATTTATTGAATCAAATGCTGAGAAGCTTCTGAAGGGTATGAAAGAACATTGCACTCCCTCGCTTGCCATTGTTCTACCTGGCATGCTTGAACTTGCAGTGACAAATGGTCTTCATCTTCTCTTCCCAGAATCAGTGAAGGAGACACTGTCCTATATATTTAGCTGTCGGGAAAAGTTTCTTAACAAGTACTTATTTTCATATATGACTTAGATCATACACCCATGCACCCGCGTGCACAAATATTTTTACAATTAGTTTCATAATCTGAATAAATGATTCACTCAAGAAGCTTCTAATTGAATGAAAATGCAGGGATAGCCTTGTGGGACAGCATTGTTATCCTCCATTGTTATCATATCTTGAAGCTTTGCCTCCATCATTTGCTATAACCACAGAAGATATATCATGCAATTTGAATAGCGACGGCTCATTGTTCCAATCACCTTCTGCTACAGCAAAAGCATTTGTGGTTACTGGAAAGCAAGAGTGCCTCGTTTATTTAGAGTCATTAGCTAAAAGATGCCCTAGTGGAGGTTGACCATTATTCCTTGTTTTCTTTTCTAAATGTCAATTAAAAGTTCTTAATTAACCAAACCCACGGGCAAATGATTTTTTTATATCTTAGACTGTATTTTATCCGTACAGTTCCACAAACATATCCTTTGGATGAGGACCTTATAAAGCTGTGCGTGATGAATCAGCTGGAAAAGTTAGGTTTGTCTCGGTATTTTGCTGGAGAGATTGAAGAGACCATGGCACAAATTTACGGGTAAAACCTCATCTCGAAATGTACAGTAGTATACCAATTAAACCATATGGGATTACTACTAATTGAACCTGTTAAAATGTGAAAGGAGTTGAATTGATGTAGGATGTCTAACATCAAATAAAATTAGACTTAATTAGTAACTAATATATAATAAAGAAAAATAATCCATATATAAACTTAAACTTTAAAATTTTATGTTAAGATGTGATGTTTTTTAGTTGTTCTTTGTCCATTTGTTCTCTCGTTTGTTGCTAGGCGGTTACTTCACATTCCTAACAAGGTCTATCTCTCATAAATTGTATGAATTCATGAGTAAAATAGTAATAGTAAGGTTCCTATTTAATTTGATTGCAGAAATTTCATCGATCGAAAATCGTGGGCAAAACCATACAACATGATTGCATTACAACTTCACAAAGACTCTCTGGCATTTCAGCTTCTCCGGATGCAAGGATACAAAGTATCGCCGTGTAAGGCATTATAGAAGCTTTGACATATCATTAATAACAGACTAAGATATATCACAGGTTTTTAATTTAATGAAAAAGTTGTATGCATATAAATACTTATTATTATATTTTACGTTTAACCATTGCCGCAGCAAGCTTTTGCTGGTTTATACGAGACAAAGAGATCCGAGGTTATGTGGAGAAACATCCTCAGTGTTTTACAAGTGCTCTGATAAATGTGTACGGAGCCACGAACGTCATGTTTTGTGGAGAATATCAACTTGAGGAAGCAAGATCTTTTGTCGGAAAATTACTCGAGAAAATGACTTCAGGAGATAGAGACCACCAATCACAGGTCAAACAGTCAACTTTTTCATATATAATAAAGAATAGAAAAAATATAATATAACTTTAAGTCTCTACATTTTGTTCAAGTTTTATTGTAGGTCCCTATACTTTTCTTTAGTTTTTTATTTTTTAATGTTCTAGATCCATATAACACCACTCATGGAGAGATTTAAAACGCTAAAAAATAAAAGTGAAGGGATCTAGAACAAAACAAAAAGTGTAAGAATTTATGGTAAAATTCAGGCAAAGTACAGAGACTCAAAATTATGTTTTCTATTTAAGAATATTCAAAAACAAGGCTCCACCACGTGCACAAATCCCTCGTTGGTCTGGATAATTTAGATGAGATTTAAATGTCCTAATTAAGATCTTGTTTTAGAAATTGGTTTTAATTAATAATTTTATCTTAAATATTGCAGAATATATACAAAAAATAATATCAATTTTACCACTATCAACTTAAGAAATAGATAATGTTTTAACTTGAAAATACAAAATTTTTTAGCAAGATTTGGACCATCTACATCTTCCCTAGACGGTCGAGATGAGATGTGCCCGGTGCACATCTTCAAGAACTCATTGTTTGTCGTAATGCTAGGTTTCTCAGAGAAAAGACATATTGACTATTCACAGATATTGACTATTCACACTTCCTTCATTTTGTTTTGCTTTAATTTGTAGATTGGGCATGAGTTGAATCTTCCATGGCTCGCTCGGCTCGAGCATTTGGAACATCGGATGTGGATAGAAGAAAAAGAAGCCAATGCTCTTTGGAAAGGAAAGACCTCATACAATAGGTATGTGTTTATGATATCGATCTCGTTCTGCTTATTTTCCTTTCCATATGAAATTCAGAAATTGGCTTATGCATATACTGGGACTGCTCACCGACAATTTATTATCTCTTGTGTAAGTAGGATATCATGCCTTTGCAACGACGAGCTACTACAACTTGCTGTGCAAAATTATGAGTTCAGGCAATCGCTTTACAAAAATGAGTTGGAGGAACTCAAAAGGTTTGCAGGACAACGTTCCTATATAGTATTTTATTTCCAAAAGTATCTTGAACCGACCAAATTAATATGACCTTCATATAATTACTTCATTAGCATTCATATTTAGCATGTCAGTAATAATATAGGTGGTCTGAAGACTTGGGCTTGAGAAGTATGGGATTTGGCAGAGAGAAAACCACATACTGTTACTACGCTGTTGCTGCTGCTGCCAGTTCCCTACCCCATGACTCTCATGCCAGAATGTTAGCGGCAAAAAGCGCCATCGTCATCACCGTTGCTGATGATTTCTTTGACATGAAAGCTTCTCTTCCTCAACTGGATGACCTCATGGATGCAATAGGAAGGTACGTAAACCTAGTTAAAATTGAAGTGCTTCAGACCATAACTATCAGTTTTGACCATAACAGTGATCTTTTTTAATTTCTGATTAATATATAATAGATGGGATGGCGGCGGTTTAAGCAGCCACAGCAAGGTAATATTCGATGCTCTTGATGATCTCGTGAGTGAAGCTGCTGAAAGATATCCCCAACAAAAAGGAGCTGATATAACAAGTAATCTCCGACATCTTGTAAGTTAAATAGATTACTGAGTCAACTGTAAACGTATAATTAGTCCAGCTGAATCCCACTAGGAAAAACTAACCTATCCAAGTGTGTCTGTGAAGTGGCATGAAACATTTCTTTCGTGGCTGGAAGAGGCAAAGTGGAGCAGAAATGGACAAACACCATCCATTGATGAATATCTTAAAATAGGCATGATCTCCATTGCCGCACACACCATGGTTCTTCCAGCTTCCTGCTTTCTGAAGCCCAGCTTACCTATTGACATGCTTAGGCCACCCCACTATGAAACCATCACAAAATTGCTTATGGTTATTTGTCGTTTATTGAATGATATACAAAGCTGCCAGGTACTTTTATGTTCAAATAGTTTAAAAATTGTACTTATATAGCCATTTTGAGTGTGTTCTTGGAGCCTAACGCATGGTTTCTGTGCGGGCAGAAGGAAGAACAAGAGGGGAAAGTGAATTCTATTCTCACAAACTTGATAGAGAATCCAGAGTTGGACATGGAAGATTCAATAGCTTTTGTGAGAGAGATAATAGGGAAGAAGAAGAAAGAGTTCATGGAGCATGTGCTTATGGATGAAATGTGTGATTGGCCTAAACCCAGCAAGCAATTTCATCTGTCATGCTTGAAAGCCTTCCAGATGTTTTACAACTCAAGCAATCGCTATGACTCAAAGACAGACCTGCTGGAAGATATTGAAAAAGCAATCTATCTTCCTCTGAGCAGAAGCTTAAAGAAGCACCTCAAGGTTAATGATGGCGTCATTGCAGGGCTAAACAAGAAATATGCAAGAATAAACTCCAACACGAAACGGTACATTAAACCTAAGTGCTTAATTAATGTTGCTGTTAATAACCCTCAATATACGTTGAGAAATGTAATTCATGGAGTGGCACCAAAAATTGTGGGAGGCTTCGTATAAAGGGTGCCAAAAATTACATTGCATGTGTGTCTGTACATATGTCCAAAGGGCGGAGGTAGGGGGAACAGTAGGGGTCACAAGCCCTGATTATATATTTTTAACCTCCTAAATTGACATATTATAGAAACTTTGAAATATTATATGAAATTCTCATTTCAATTTTATATATAGTCTTTTACGCATTTATAGTTCAATTATTTTACTAGATTGAAGATATAATTATTTTTAATAAGATAATATTACACTTGTTCTTAAGCATGAAAGTCATTTAATTTTGCATTCACTTTATATTTGATAAAAGAAATTATAAAAATTATTACTAACAAACTTTGCCAAACACTGCAATAAAAATCTGAAAATATATTAAATGTTATGTGCTTGATATCTATTATAAAATTACTTATCCAAAAAATTAAGAGGTTATAATTAAAATATGTTCTTCTAAAAAAATTATTTTTTTTCTAATAGCCAAGCTATTGAAATTTATTATATGAATAGTTTTTTCTACGATATACTTATATTTCATCAACATAGAGTTTGTGACAATCGAATATCATTATTATATTGATATATTTATTTATTACAATTATCAATTGAAAGAATTAAACAATAAATTCAGTGAGTAAGTAATAGAGTTTTTTTTAGATTGAACAGAACTTTAAATTATAATATTTATGAAAAAGATGAAATCTTCACCAATTTAATGATAGTTTATATTAAGAAGGAAATTGTTAAAATTTTTATGGTAGACATAATAATTAATTATTTTTATGTCATAAAATTAAAAACGATGAGCAAAACTTAAAAATAAAGTATACATTTATTTTTTTATATATATTTATAAAATTAAATATAAATATATATATATATATATTAAAATATATATTATATTAGTGATATATATACATTTAATTTTTTTCTTCAATTATTATGTATACTTTATTATCTCTGTCCCTCCTAATAAAATTTTGTCATTCCGTCCCTGCATGTGCCTGCCTATTAGTTCTCGTGTCTGTGTGTGTGCACGAACATATATATATATATATATATAGACACACACACATGCATGTATGTATACGTGCGAGCGTGCGTGTGCAGGGGACTGTGTCCGTGTGTATTATAAGATTTTTCTTCTCCAACTTATGAGTCTCGTCTTGTCATCTGTTTTTTTCATCTATTCTACGTATTATTACGGCGAGACGGTAGTAATTAAAGAGGTCGTAATTAAGACATTAAAATATTTTTATTTTATATAAATTTAATAATAAAAAATGATTAAGAGATTGGGACATTATAAAGGGCAATAAAGGCCCATGGCCATGCCCAAAAAACCATTAATAAGAAATTAAAAAATAATTTTATTTATTTATAAAATATAATTACTTTCCTCCCAAATATATTGTTTTAAAATATAATGTTATCATCAAAAGGCATACTTTATTAACATTATAAATACTCAATAATTATATATGATTTTTACATATTATTAAGTTAAGAAATCAATTTAAAATTTTAAAGAGTGTGATAATATCATAATCAAGAATTACAAAAGAAAGAATCTGAAGGCTCACTCAACATGAGTGACATGACTGGCTAATACTTATTATATAGTACAAGAGTTAGTTACAACAGTATACATGTCATAGGTTCCTATAGTATTCTAAACATGAATAAAGAATATTACAGAAAAATCCTATAATAATTACAAGAAGGTTTATGACTTAGACCGACTGCTAGCCTTTTGCTTCTTGGGCTTCTTATTAATCTTGGACTGTTGAATGGGCTGGTCATTTGTATTCTTAACATCCCCCCGCAAACGAGAGGTGGTCAACCCAAGTTTGTCACATAAAAAGATAAAATGATTGGAGGATAATGGTTTTGTAAGTATATCAGCCAGCTAATGTTTGGATGGGACAAACTGAATAGTAATACACTTACGCAGCACCAGATCACAAACAAAATGAGTATCAATCTCGATGTGCTTTGTACGAGCATGAAAAAAAGGGTTCGAAGCTAAGGCAAATGTACTCAAGTTATCATGCCAAATAATTGAAGGAGAAGAGAACACCAGACCAAGCTCTCCCATCAAAGATTGAAGCCACACAAGTTCAGAAGCTGTATGAGCCAGAGAATGGTACTCTAATTTGGTGCTCGAATGTGCAACCACCGTCTGCTTCTTGGAGGACCAGGAAACCAATGCATCGCCTAAGAAAACAAGATAGCCACCAGTAGATATCAATTATCTGGGCATGTAGCCCAGTCAACATCTAAGTAAGCCATTAAATCAAGATATTCAGATCCTTTAATATGAAGACTAACATGAAGTATCCCTTGTAAATATCGCAATAGATGTTTAACCACCTGCCAGTGAAAAAGAGTTGGTGCAGATAAAAACTGACTCAACTTACTGATACTAAAGGAAATGTCATGACGCGTATGAGCCAAATCTTGCAGAGTACCAACAACTTGATGATAATCAGACAGTTAGGTATAGGAGAACTACCAAACTTTGATAATGACTGTCCTAGTACCATTGGAGTCTTACATGAAGAAGCTTTGTTCATATGCCATCTACTAAGCAAATTTAAAATAGATTTACTTTGATTTAAATAGAAACCAAAGTCATCACGGGCAATCTCTTTTCTAAGAAAATAGTGCATTGGGCACATGTCTTTTAAAGAGAACATGTCATTAAACTTAGTAACAAATGTCTAAATATACTCGAATTATTTCCAGTAACAAGTATGCCATTTACATAAATAAGAATAAGAAGAACTTGATCTCCATTTTGAAAGGAAAATAGGGAAGTATCACTCTTACTATTATGAAATTCCCAAGACAGTAGTGTGGATTGAAGACGATCAAACCAAGCTCATGGAGCTTGTTTTAAACCATATAGTGCTTTTCGAAGACAACAAACATGGTTGGGTCTAGTAAAATCCACAAAACCTGTGAGTTGAGCCATGTAAATAGTCTTTGTAAGGATACCATTCAGAAATGCGTTATTAATATCAAGTTGTCTAACATCCCAATGTCTTGAAGCTGTAATTGTAAGAATGACATGCACTGTGGATGGCTTAATAATTGGACTATAAATTTTATCAAAATCTATCCCAAGTTCTTGAAGATAGCCTTTCACCTATGAGACGAGCTTTGTATCAATCCACGATATTGTCTGGCTTGAACTTGGTCTTATATACCTAACGACACCTAACAACATTGAAAGAAGGATTAAAGGGAACTAAGTCCTAGGTATTATTTTTAAGTAAAGTAGCATACGCATCTGACATAGCTTTACGCCAGTGATCAAGTGCAAGAGCTTTTACTACTGAGCCTAGTTTAGTACACAATCTCTTAGGATCATATTGAACAAGACCAACATAAGGCCTTTTTAGTTTAATGATACCATGCTTGCCATGTGTCATCATGAGATGATCATTCACAAATAGACCAAGAGATGATAAAGAATCATCAGTAGTTAGACCAGAGATGGAAGTCAGACTCATGGTAATAAGAGAGTCTCCAATATTTGAACCAAACTCAACCTCTAAAGTAAGACTGATTGACTTGAGAGATAGTGAGTGTTGGGCCTTAGGAACCAAGTCTATATTGATGTGGGCCAGACTAGAAATGATAGATAGAGATCTAATATAAGGATGAGATACTTCGTTATCATGAAACGATATCATTAGTGTTAATGAAACAATGCTGTCTTCGACGTTGCATGAAGAAATTTGTTGAGACTCTATTTCAGTATGTCCAGAATAGAGATGAGGAAGCCATGCCTGAGACAAAGAACTAACATTTTGTTCTGGAAAAGAATGAGATGATGCTGTGGTACTTGCATAGAGAAAGTCATTTTCATTAAAACAACATGCCAAGAGATAAAAACATGACCAAAGGGACTTAAACGCTATATCCCTTATGTGAAGGACTAAGACCCAAATATATACATCTCTCTGAATGAAACTCCAGTTTATGTTTATTATATAGCCGTAGACATGGAAAACAAGCATAGCCAAAAATCTTAAAACCACCGTAGTTTGGTTTAGAACCAAATAAAACTTCAAATGGAAATTTCTGATTTAATATTGGAGTAGGTATCCAGTTAATCACATAAATAGCATTCATAAATGCTTCCCACAAAAAATGTAAAGGCATTAAAGCCTGAGCTAACATGCTTAATCCCATTTCAACTATGTGATGATGTTTTCTTTCCACACATCCATTTTGTTCTTATGTATAAGGACAAGGATGATGAAATAGAATCCTAGAATCAGACAAAATTGATGAAAAAATTTTAAACTCTCCTCCCCAGTCGCTTTAAAGAGCTTTAATCTTTTTATGAAACTAATTTTCTATAAGTTTTGAAATTGTAGGAAAGCCAAAAGAGCCTCTCCCTTAGAATGAAGAGGATACAGCCACATAAAATAGCTAAAATCATTAACAAAACTAATACAATACTTAAATCCAGATTTTGAAGCAATAAGAGCTAGCCCCCATAAATCAATAAATATTAATTCAAGTAGTGCTTTAGCTCTAGATTCAGAAGATTGGAAAGGCAACTTGTGCATTTTACCAAACTAATAAGTATTATAGAATTCAAAATCGTCTTTACTGTTAAAGGAGATATTACAACTTTGTAAAACTTCTTTAACAACTTTACACGATGTATGGCCTAAACGTCTATGCTAAGGTTTTAAAGTAGCAAGCAAGGCTATAGGAATTGGAAGTAGCATCATAAACTTGAGGAACACCATCAATTTTGTATAAGCCATCACACCGTTTGCCTCTAAGAAGGATGCATCCTATTTTCAGTTCCTTGACATTACACAGATTAATAAAAAACTAAATAAGTATGTCATTATCAAGAACAAGCTCAGAAATGCTAATCAAATTTTTCTGGATTGAAAGCACAACAAGTATATCTTTCATTAATAGTGGAGCATTATCACACTTCAGAGTGCTAATAGCATGACCAACTACTGATAACCCAATGCCATTACCAACTATTAGTATACCTACATTTGGCTGAGAATTTGCATTAGCGAGAACATTTTTGATGTGTGACATGGTGAGAAGCACCACTGTCTAAGTACCAAGCTAGGTCCTAAATTATGTCTAAAGTAGCGTAAAAGGCAGTAGGATTTGATGAAACACTATTATTATGATAATTATGATCAAATCTGCAAAAACAATTAGCAACATCATGACTAGCAAGAGTACAAAGATGACAAAATTTTCCATTACATGCATTATGTCCTTGTCCTCTGCTTCCGCATCCACGACCAAAACCATGCCATTAAGATTGTGAACCTTAAGATCCTTGAGAATTACTAAAGGAAGAGTGATCGGTTTGAAAACTCAAATGAGTAAAAGCTATACCAACTAATTGAACGCTATTCATGTGTTCACGATGACATTCGTAGTTCAACAAATAAGAATGCAAATCAATCCAAGAGAGGTTAGGTTTATCAGCTAGATGAACTACCATTGCAGTATACTCTACATCCAAACCTGCTAAAGTCTACATAACAAGTTTAGACAAGGGAAATAGATGCCTAACAAATGTCATATGATCTAATAAGGTCTTCATTTTGCTCAAATATTCTTCCATTTTCATGGAGCCTTTCTTGGTATGTTGAAACTCTGTCTTCATCAACATAATGCGAGATCAAGTATTAGAACATGTGAGATCTGTGACTGCTTTCCAGATCTTTGCTGCCATTCGACAATATAGCACCTTCGTGGAAATGTCAGGAGTCATAAAACCCAAAAGCCAACCATATATTAACTGATCAGTAGCTCACCAATCATCAAATGTAGGATTAATGATAATGTCACTTCCATCAAAAATGAACTCTGGTGGACATTATGTCATTTCAATAATAAAACCTTTAAGTTTATAACCTCAAAGATAGAGAGAACAAAACTATGCCAGAGCAAATAATTGGACCTGTCCAACTTGACTGATCCTGCTTGATTTAGGCTGTTAAGGAGTGGGATAGTTTTGGTTTACATAGTAGCAGAGGAAGGCGTTAAAGGGGAAATAAAAGGTGAGACAATATGAGCAATGACAAGAGAAGTGGAATGAGCTAAAATAGTTGAAAAAAATAAAGGAGAAGTGGAAGAAAAGGAAGATAAAGATGAAGAAGAATGATATAGAGGTGAAGTAGAGGTGGAGAGAATAGGAAAGGTCGCCATGGATGCTATTCTACTTTGATACCAAATCAAGAATTACAAAAGAAAGAATCTGAAGGCTCACTCAACGTGAGTGGCACGACTGGCTAATACTTATTATATAGTACAAGAGTTAGTTACAATAGTATACACATCATAGGTTCTACAGTACTTTAAACATGAATAAAGAATATTACAGAAAAATCCTATAATAATTACAAAAGGGTTTATGACTTGGACCGACTGTTAGCCTTCTGCTTCTTGGGCTTCTTATTAATCTTGGACCGCTGAATGGGTTGTTCATCTGTATTCTTAACATATCATAAGTTTAATTTATCATATAAATAAAATTTTGGAAAAAACTCATATGGGTGTTCGTACCAAGCTGCCTATAGACAACATTTGGGCTTGAAAACATTAGCCAACTTGAACAAAGAAAATCCAAGAATCCAAAAAACAAATAAAATAAAGTAGACCACACGCGCGCGCGCGCAGCCTGATCCACAATAAGCATGAGGGTCAAAGAAGGATATTTGTGTAATCTTCACTCCGCGATGCCTATCACAGTCCAAACTCCATCTCCCCCCAAATTCCTTTATATATATATATATATATATATATATCAGCTAAATTCACAAGGCATTGGAGCAACAACTTGGATTTGATATGTGACACGGTAATAATAATTAAATTAAATTAAATAAGTATATGAGATTTTATCATAGGAGTCACAATAGTTTACATTTTTATAAAGAATAACATATGTAAAGAGTGTTCTGATTATAAAAATTATTTTAAATATTTGCAAAAAAAATGTACTTTTAATAATTTTTAAGAGTTGATAAAATCAAATGATGTTTATTAAATAAGTGAATTTAATTGACCCTCTGAATCTAAATCCAACATCTTCCAAAAACCATTACTTGTAAACAGATTGGTCCATTTTATCCTTAGCATTCATATTAATCATGTACGTAATTCCCTGAAACCACTGAACGCCCTTGGATTGAAAATTGAGGCCAAGCGAAGACGCCGCTTCTTTATAAATTGAGTGTCAAAATTGTCGAAGAAGAAGGAATTTGTGTGTATGCATATTGGGTAGGGATACGTATAACCAGAGATTTTAAAAACGAATCGTTAAATAGCCTGGATTCTGATTTGGTCAATATATAAAAATTATTTTAAATGTTGAGTCAGTTGGACAGTTTTAGACCGACGGTGGGATTGAGAACCAAAATCAAACAAACAATCGAATTCAGTTTTCAAGCATCAGATTGTTCCAAAAAAAATTATTTTTTTATTGAATTAAAAAAAAAAGATCAAATTTTTTAATCATTTAATATTATGTTATATCATGTAACTTATTAAATTATAATAAATTTAAAATATTTAATTTTTTTAAAATTAAGTAATAATTTTATATTTATTTTTTATATTTAAATTATTATATGTATAATTTTTTTAATTTAATCAATTTAATTATATATATAATTTTTTTATATTTAAATTATTATATTTAAAGTTGAATAGTCTCGTGCCGCGCATGCAGCGGCTGGTATGTCAAAAGTACACGTGTATGGCACTTGGTACATGACCCTCTTTAATAAGATTAGATTGGACCCACCTACATCACATCACGTTTTGCATTTAAAAAAATACAATATTAAAATTTAAATTTAAGATGGGGAAAATATCATTCAAAATCCAAGCCTTAAGACAATTTATTATTAAACAAAAACCAAAAGATTATGAAGTATTATTGCTTGACCAAGAAACTGATCTGAAAATAATTTTATACAGAAAAATACTATAATATTATTACTTTTTTTTTTAAAAAAAACTTATCAATTAAGAAATAATTTCTTATTAAATGCAAATAGGTACTTATTAATTAATAAATTTTTATTTATTAAAATATAATCTACACTTATCCCTTCTTATAACTAAGCTCTTATAGATTCTTGAACTTGTCGATTGATAAATAGCTTCTTATTAAATATAAATAAGTACTTATTATTTGTTCATTCTTACAACCAAGCTCTTGCTAAATATTGAACTTATCAATTAACAACTAATTTTTTGTTAAGTGCGAATGAGTACTTATCAATTAAAAAAAAAGTAAGAATATTATAGTTTTTTCTCATTTAAATTATTTTTAAATCAGTCCCCTAATTTTGCAGTAAATTTATAATCTTTTGATCCTTGGTTGATATTAAGTATCCTCACTCATCGTTGAATGATATTTTTCCCTTTAGATGTTTGTAATCTTTATATAGATCTACACTCACCTCCATTAGCTTTGAATTTGAGGACCCTTGATTTAGCTATTCATTTACCCCACGCACGCACATATAGGCAACAAGAGTGTTCCCTTTGTCTCCAAGAAATTATTTATAAAAAAAAAGAAGTTCTTCAAAAAAAAACAAAAAGGAGATTAATTAATTAGATGTTGATGTTTGGGAACATGCAAATATAGGATACACAAGAATACATCCTACTAGCAACCTAGTGCTCCGTATATAATTAAAGGTCCAAAATCTTCTTAATTATATGAAGTTATTACAAAAAACTCTCTCACTCTCTCTCTCTCTCTCTCTATATATATATATATATGGACGAGTGATGTGTTATTATTTAGTAGGAGGTGGTAGTCCAAGCAGAAAGGCAGAGAAGAGTGCGAGTGAATTGCTGGGTTTGAAACAAGGCACTGCATGTCCAGCTCCTCGAAACGTTGCAAAAGTAAGCCCCTCGTATTCTTGAAACCACCCACTTACCTATTATTAATTCAGCAAGGCCCGTCACCCCCATTCATTAATGGGTATGAAAAAGAAAAACATCATCGCATAACGTTGTTTTTTTAAGGTTAATTTTAATTACTTACCTCGTTCTCGTGATACCATGGTCTCCATGGCTTGGTGATACGCAAATTCAGAGTACTTAAACTGTATCTTGTGGAGAGTACTGGCACTCTACCATCTGTGTCTCCACTGAACCATATATAGAAATATAATCTCATCAACGCATAGGCAAAATTATAATATTGAAAACTAGGTCAATTTAACCAATTGAATTAGTAAATCATTAAACTAATATTTTGACTTACTCAATAAAATGTTTTATTTATGACCGGTGATACTCAATATAATTACAGCTTTAACTATTAACTGTTAAACTAATATTTTTAACAATTCAATAACCAATCTGATTTTGAATGCTTTTAGACACACACATTCCCATGTTGCCAAATGGGACCTATATATATATATATATATATATCAGTCTAAACACCACCTTTGGATAGTAATTAATTGCTAAGTTATTTACCTGTAAATCCAGATTCTCAGTCCTGCCGAAATAAGTTTCTTATAAATCGGGATCATAGATGGCTTTGAATCTCTCCAGTCCTTGAACATCTTGTCGCTGCATGTGATATCAGTACCAGTATTCATTAGATCAGAAAGGTGATTTATTAGATTACTTAATTATATCATGCCATTGGACAAAAAACAAAATTAAATGTGAGAGTTATGATAGGAGCGGTGTATTTTACTTGCAAATACTCCAATTCTTGAGACTATGACCATCACTGGCATGAAGAGCCTTCTGAACATCTGGCCTGTTATAGAAAGCTGTGGCATAATCATCCAAACATGGATCGTAACCACCCATGATCCTTGGCATCTGCTCCACCAAATCCATGAGATTATGTCAGAATTTTTACAGCTTTGTTATAAGTAAGAAAAAATTTCTTATACGTACCAATACTCACCATTTTGGATGAACGCTTATATTTCATGACGCGTCGGCCTCGCAGGGATTGATCATTTGAGCGTGCGGTGCTGGCGAAGCAGACAGAGGTATAGATGCTATAGATATCAATTTTGCCGTACTGTGAGAACACTTCGTCCACAGCATCACAGCAAGTTTGGTTCTTCCAAGGATCACTGCTTTTGAAGTCACAGCTCTCTCTGATTGTTCTGTAAGTTTCATCTGATACCACTGCGTGGCTCCAAGCATAATCCACAATACCCGTCCAGTCCTCAGCATCAGATGTTTCTGGATTCCCCAGCTGCCCATCAAGAAAAGTTTTAGGAGTACACCTTTTGTCTTATTCAAGTGTCATGTCAGATGTCAGGTTGACACGCGCGTGAATTTTTTTTTTTTTAAAGGAATATTTGCTTTGAGCGGTTAAAAATTGTTGATAGAGAATTAGAAACAATGAAATAAAGTAGAGAATTTGTGGTAGTGGGATTTGATGCGTGTGATGGGTATATAACATTGAAAACTCAAAACCTACGTATATACAGGAACTAAAATGACAGACATGCGTGTCGAAGTATAAGGAAAATGTTCTTGATAAGGAAAAATTCCCTATGTTTTGGCTCATGTATGTTACATATATTACAATTTATGGCAAGAAACCTGGTGGCTAGCTAGAGAATACTTTTCAAATAATGTAGGCCCATACCAGGATACCCTTAAGATCAATATGAATCGAAGGGTCCTTGTTCCTATCAACGATGAGCTCAGCAAGTTCTGGTACATACTTTCCTGAAAATATATACATTGTGCATGTTCCATCATCAAATAATCTTCTTGATATAGATCAAAATGATGAGAAACAAGAGTTGTTATATTTAATGATCGATCTTGTAGATAAATATATGTACCTGCATAACTCTCTCCTGCGATGTAAAATGTCCTAGTTCTGTGAGATGGAAACTTGAGAAACCACTTGTGCAGAAAATTGTAAGCATCATTAGCTGTCAGAAACAACAATTGAAATATCAAACGACCTTTAGTTTGAAAAAAATAATAAAACGAGAGCTTCATATGGCTGCCACTAAATATACAATATTATTAATTAAGGTTGAGTTCTGAATTATAACCTGTGAAGTCATCTCCAAGATGTTCATAATCACTGGTTGTGTTTGAATAGGAAAAGCCGACCCCAATAGGAGATTCCACGAATAAAACGTTGGCTTCTACATCATCACACACATCAGAAATACTCAACACCACCATTATCAAATGGTGCGGGGACAAATAATAGAAAACTATACATATATATATAAACCATAATAGTAAGTCATAGAAAGTAGTGAGATGGGTTTACACCAGAAGTGAGCGTGTGAATGTGTGTCTATTATATTGGTGCGGTGTGTGGTCCTCACAAGTCACATACCCTTGTTCCATGAGAAGTTATTAAATCTAAGACCCTGGCCATTAATGTCCACTAAAAAAGGGCCAATCTCCTGTGTTGCTCCATATCCCACTGAAGAGCACCCAGGACCTGCAACAAAAAGGCATCCTGTCACCTTAGCCAAGAACACACATACAAGAAAAGCAGATAATTAATGAAATCAGCAACGTATGAACTATTTCAGACCATGAAAAGGAAGATAATGAAAGCTACAACAGTTACAGATCCCAACTGTCATCTTTCAATTCTGAGAGACTATTACAATACTGTTAAGCCACTCATTTGTATATCTGATATGACTGTCATGAGAAGGGAGAGATATAGTTATCTATCTCTATCTTCACGAAACTGTGACAATATTACATGAGAGGATCCAAATCTAAGGAAAAGAAGAAAAAATATTAATGAAGTGTGCTACCTCCATTAAGCCAAAGCACCAATGGTTTTTCTTGAGGATTGATGATGGCCTCGTAAAACCAGTAAAAGAGTGCTCTTCCATTAGTTTCATTCACTGTGACATAGCCAGCAAAGTGCCGGAAATCTGCACGAGGCTGACCAGGCAAGTTGGTGACAAGATCCTCATTACCATCCCCAGAACTCAGTTTCCTCCCATGATCACCCCTTTGATATTGCCTGTGCCTCGAAGATACAACAGGCTTCGCACATATCAGCACAAGTACAAGAGCCAAGCTGCAGAAAATTTTCACTTTTAACAGAATATCCATATTATACGAATTAAAAAGAGAGACTACACTTGGATGAAAAAAACTAAAGGCCTGCATGCCCCTTTTATACTGAAAATTTTCTTGCACCGTACCCCATCGTGGGTAGAACATTTGAGGAAATTAAAGAAGATTAGGATAAGAATCCTACCTGGCAACTCTCTCTCTCTCTCTCTCTCTCTCTACCTATCTATCTATCTGCGCTTTTTTAAAAAAAACGCTGTGACGACTGTGATGAATGTTAGGTAGCTTCTGGATCATTTCCTGCATGAGAACATATCTGTGAGTGGCACTTCCAATCGTGACAACTTGGGGCGGTTGAATGGTGTAGTCACATGAATAAATTATATGATGATTTTACTTCTTTTGTGTTCGATAAAAATATTCGCGTGTATGCATTTGTTTCAACTTTTATCCATATCCAGTGTATAGAAATTTGAAGTTATAAATTTATTCGTTCTAAACATGATATGATTGATTGTCCTCTTCTTCCCTATACTCCTTTATATTCGTTAACTTGAGATAAGAATTCCATATAATAGAGTTACTAGTTTTCCGAATATAGATGATATGATAGTGCTGCACACAGATTAACTAAACAACATTTTGGAACCATCCGTCTATATAACAAGTCCCGACGAGAAGATGTGTGGACACTTACAATAGATTAAATGTTTTCTTTTATACATGGGGAATATATTTGAAAAGATGTGAAGAGTTTCTAAGAGAATAAAGGGATAGATGAGAAGGTGTTGTGGAAAAGAAAAATCATTAATTAATTTAATAATTCTATTTCCTGCAAAGTGTATATATCGTCATCCATCCTTTTGTTATTCCTTTTTTTTTGGGGGGGGGAGGCGGGGGTTTGGGGGGTTCTGTAATCAATTCCCTCAAAAGATTTTTAATATATATATATATATATATATGCAATTACTTCTGGTGGTGTAGGAAACAGCGCATAATAATATAATGGACAGAGAGAGAATTTATGGGTTCCATTATTAGCTCTCAAGGGTGTAAAACAATATTTTCAGCATTTCTGAATTCTCTTTCAGAAGCATTGTTATCCCTCTTCTTTTTTAAGATGTGGAGATGTAAACGTATTGTATATACATATAGAAGTTTCAAAAAATTGAAAGGAAAAAAAAAAGTCACACAGAGAAGGAGAGGAATTTTCTCACACACAAATTAATTCAGTATATAGTTTACCAAAAAAATTAATACTCAGTATAATAGGGGTGGACCCACATTAAACATGGTGGGGCCTCCCCCAAGTTTTAACAAATAGGTATTGAGTCTGTTAAGTCATAGCACTTCATTATTGTTGCCAAAATAAAAAACAAGAAAGCAAACTTTACATCACTCCCCATCCGAATTGTGAAGTTCCATCAACAAAAAAAATGGATGTTCTCTCACTTCTTAACACACACACACACACACACACACACACACACAAATATCCAATTCCTTAATTAACAAAAAATGAAATCAATTTTTTTCCCTACTTCCTCTAAACCATGATATAAGTTATTAACTAATTTATGTTTTTAAAAAGTTAATTAAAATCTGGACTTTTTAAAAGTTTTCACATATTTCTAATCATACCCTTATGTCTAATACATATAATATTTGACTTATTCCAGACACTATTGATAATTACTCAAGCAAAATATAATAAAGTAAAGGTATAATTAAATATATATATATATATATATATAATATTGAACACCTTATATTTTAGACCAAACAGGATTTTCATGAACGGAGAATGATAGTAAGGACCATCAAAAGAGGGGAAAAAAAAGTATTGAGGGTCTTCAACAACTGTAGATTCATTTATGCACAATAAAGTTTCATCAATTGACTTGTGTATAAATAAACCTTCAGTTGTTAAGAGTGCTTGTTCCTTTTTTTTCCACTCTAGGGTCCTCGTTTCCATTCTCCTTGCATAAACGTCTTATATTGTGGTTTAAAGAAAGTAAAGTAAATAAGAGGAAGGCATCAACCTTCAAAGCCTCAGTGGAGAGGCATGTGTGTATAAGAGGATTGGAGAGTAATCCATGGATTATTTCTATCTCTCATTCACAGTAAGCTTTTAGCTGGTGGTAGAAATTATATTCTACTGTACCTTCTAAGATAAAGAAAAGGAAGGCAAAGAACAAGAAAGGGGAGAGATGTGTGTCAAGTGAAGTGCTTTGGCCCCCTCAAAATTTAAAGCTGGTTCCGCCCCGAAGTATAACAGTAGCATATAGGGGGGAAAAAATAAACGAAATATCTAACTAGTGTTCAAAAGTGTGGCACATGTATAATCATTTAGGCTTTTTTAATTTGCAAAAAGTAGATCAATCTATCTTACAATTAATTAAATTATAGTTATATTCATATTACATAATCCAGTTGCCGGGACGATGCTTGTAACCATTATGAATGGCCATGACACTCTATGTGGTCCGTATATAATTTACACTTCCATAAATCTGGATTGTTGTTGGAAGTGTGGATTAAACATGACTTATATTGTTGTTCAAATAGGTCCTCACTATGAGAAGTCCTATAATTGCTTTGACATAATCTACACTTCAATAGCTTCCTGGGAAAGGTTCATTTAATCTTAAACAGTTACTGCATTCAATATGTGTGGTAAAATGCTGGTAAAAAAAAAATCTACGTTGTAGAATATATAATTCTTGATGATGACGGTGTTTTTGGGCACAACTTGGACTATGGAATCTTGAACATCAATTGCTAACACAACACTTTGTAGTTCAACACGTTTTTGTATTAACACAGTTTTGATCCAGTCATTAAACTTTTACAAAAAGTAATTTGACTTATTGTTAAATTTTACAAAAATAAAAATCCAAATTCCTCTATGCCCTAAATCTTTTCTTCTCAGTTCACCCGAAAAACACTGTAGAACCTTCTCTTCCTCCTCCTACTAGCTAGCAAAGCTTTTGAGAATTCATTATGATAAATGTGTTGTTTGAAAAATCTTTGTTTCGTGCATTGAGTCTCATCCACAAAACCATGCGAATAGCTCAAGTTGGAGTAGTAGGCCATTATTTTAACGTCAATGAATCAAAAAGCACTTGTGCAGAGAGACAATGTATCTTGTTATTCTCTGACTCACACACGCGCGCGCGCGCACACAAAATGAAAAATTATAAACAGATCTTTGTAAGAAAAGACAAATAAGGTTACAGGGCATGCAATATCTTGATCCATTACTTGACCACATTCTTGAATGGACAATGCAATGTGCATAGTATATATTCCAAATTAAAAAAAAATGTCACAGAAAAGACTTAATAATTAATTATTGCTTTGCTGTCTTTTTCTCCGTCTTATTTAATCATAGAATATCTCATCATCACAAAGTGGAAAGGTAGAGTTTTGTGGCGAACCTTGTGCGTTATGACTCTTCAACTTGAATCCATCACCCTTTAATAATAAGCTAAGTGCTCTCTCAAATATTGGACCAATTAATAATTATCAATTTGCTTTCAATATATGTATCATCACCAGGGTAGATCCTAACTTTCTAAATATTTTGATTAATATATCCACGTGTAGTGGGGTGGAGGTCATCCTCGTTACTTTAATTATATACTCCTTCATGTGGTTAACTAACTCCGTACTTGTTGAAAAATATTAATTATAACCTTGAAATTGTAAAAAAAAAAAAAGAAAATGCAACCTTTTAATTTTACTCTTATTCATAATTAATAATTATAATAAATTGTTGTTCAATTTAAGAATTCAAATGACAATAAAAAACAAGAGGTAAGATTGAAAAAATATATATTAATTACTCTAATTTTGTCATATATTAAGGACAAAATAAACTTTCAAACTCCTTATATTAAGGACCAGAGGAAGAGTGTATATATAATATATATGATTTTTAAAATTGCACACTTTCATATCAGTAAGATGTATTTAACATATTATTTAAAAAGTAGATATTCCTTAAGAGAGCTATGTACGATCTAATGACTGGAGACCATTAATTATCTTGTAATTATTCTTTTTCCAGACCAATTTTTCCTTTTTTGTTGATCCCTTTTCCCATCTGAGTAATGAAGTCACTTTCTTTTCTTTCTTTGTTTTCTTTCACCGAAGAAATGCATTCATTAAAACGAAATTACATCAAGGATATATTATCCACTGAAATACTCTCATCATCTATCGTCTCTTGTGATAAAGGTGGAAAATGATCAAAGGCATAAAAGCTAACATCTAACTTATGAGACATCTTAGTAAGATGATTAGTATAGGTATTAGAGCTTCTACTAACAAAACAAATGAGTATGCTCCAATCTATGTGAAACAAAAAACAACCATCCTCTATTACATCTTGAAAGGGGTGTGAAGGTTCACAATCTTTGGTAATTAAACTAATAGCCTGAATGCAATCAAAGTATATATCAAGTGTTCGTAGGCTAATATTCTAACAAAGAAATAATCCCTAAATGATAGCAAGTAACTCCATTATCGTAGGTGGAAGTAATGCATAAATGATAGCAAGTAACTCTATTATGGTAGGTGGAACGTTTGTAAGCTTACAGTTGTGTCCTTTTATCCAATTTTCTTGATGGTCCCAACTAATTCCACCACAGTCACTTTCTAAATGTATAGTCTTTCTGTTTCTAGGTCAGGGAATAATTTTTTAAAATTTAAAGAAAAAATCATTGCCGAACATATTCTGATAAGAGACATTCGGAATAATCTTACGCAAGACTGGCTTGATACTTACCGGTGGTTATTGGTTCACGCTATTATTTTTCAAATTATATTTTATCAATATCATTATGGTGTTTGACCTATCTTTTTCCTTTTAATGTTTGCATATAGATAGATCGTAGTTTTTGTTACGTTGGGTTTTGATGAATTTTTTAATTTATTTAATTAAAATGTAATATGATTAATATTTCATATATATATATATATATATATATCTAAAGAAGTAAGGTACTCATTTATCTCTAAAAACCAAGGCCAAGCTTATAAACATCAACCAAACCAGAAACTGTGTCTTTC